GTTGTACAGTCAAATACACAAAAACAGTAACACAACTAATAATCTCATTTGAACAATGTCTGTATTTCTCACATTTGTATTAAAAAAAGAAATTCAGAAAACTCAAGAAAAACATAAAAATAACTTAGCACCCACCAATAATTTCTGGATATACGTATTACCAGAGCTATACTGAAGCAATTTGAAAGAGGAACCTTTCTCTATACAAGTACATCTATAGTTTTGTTTTCATAAATCTTGGAACGTGCAAGTTGCTAAAGTGACAAAATGCAAGTTCTTAGTCTAAAATAGGTCAAATACATAGAGTGACTTTAGAGGTGGCGAGTCAGTCAAGTTTTTCTACTTTTAGAAGATCATTTGTTTCTAAAATCTCAGAGGGCCTCAATCAGTCAACCTGAAAACAAGCTCCACATTTGTTATAGAGTTGCAACTCCTTTAATAATTACACCCTTATTAAAAGGTGGGAACATACTCGCTCTGACGCCGACGGGTCGACGCGCGGCCACTTGGTTGTTCGGCAGTCGTTTTCGCACAGACCTTTTATAGTCCCTACGATACCCCCGCGCCGAATTCGGGAACCCACCCCTCCCTGAAACATACGTCACTGCATGGAGTTCCCCCGCAACATAATGCAGAAAAAAAAAGTCACTCACCCGACGGATTTTTATCCACATCTGTCCTGGTTAAAAAGCTCCACAGTTTCAGATTCCTCCRTGCCTGTTTATCTGTTTATCTCCATTCATGAGTTTTTCACGGTTTGACTATCTTTATAAAAACTCTGCTTCCTGGTCGGCTCGGGGAGCGAGTCGTAGAGCTGGGCGATATGATCAAAATTTTATATCACGGTATTTTCAACATTTTCACCGGTTTCACAGTATTTGACGGTATTTTTCTTTTCATCACAGCTCAGCTGATAATAAAATGTACAAACCCTGGTTATTGACTTTTTTTTTCCTTTTACTGTACCTCTGTCTGTGTCTCTGTTTCCCTCCTCTGTGTCTGTTCTTCTCTGACTGGTGGTTGGAGACAGTAGCCATGCATTTTGGTCCAGTCATGAAGGAGGAGGGTTAAGAAAAGATTATGATCGGGTCTATTTTATGTTATTTATTAAAGCTTATCACAACTCACCTTGCACACCCGTCAATTTCAACTCCACTACGAACTACTTCCTGCAGGCTTTTCACAATAGAACCACGTTAAGTCTCCATCAGCATAACGTCTCCATATTAACTAACCGTGTTAAATCTAACTGTGCACGTCACTGAAGAGGTGTTTACTACTTTCAGCGACGGCGAAAACGGGATGTTTTTTTAAACGTCRGTCAATATAAGCAGCGGAATTGCCACCCACGGCTGCAACTAGCTGCTCCAAACATTAGCATGCTAACGCACATAGCGGTGCAGCAAGGAAAAATGTCCCCCGGGAAACAACAGTTCACTGGCGGCCGCGACGAAACGTTCCGCTATTTAAACCGGAATGTCCGGTATTCAAAAAATTCATATCATAACAAAAATAAAAACCGGTATTCGGTACAAAACGGTATACCGCCCAGCACTAGCGAGTCGGGTTTTTTTTTTTACCTTGTGGTTGAAGCAAATGCAGCGCATAGCGCTGTCAGTACTAACACGCATGAGTTTTTCTCAGTTTGTCTATCTTTTAAWCTGCTCAAAACAGTCTGCTCTAGTCAGAAGCGAGTTTTTGTTTTATTCTTCTGCTGTGTCCGTCCGAGCGCTTTCAGTTCAGACTAATCACACATTACTGTCGACACGGGAGGGGGGTCAAAAAGTTCTGCCGGGGGCTTGTGCCAAAAGGGGCTGTCRACACGACGCTGCGAAGCCCGGTGATGTAATTTTCGTCATTAAACTGCGACAACCCATGCAGACGTCGGCAGTTCGCACGGAGTATGTTTCCAGCTCAAGTCTTTTCCCAGAAAGAACACTGTCCAACAAACCACACATGCATTTAAACATTCATGCACTTCTGCATGTCCCCTTCTAGAGCTTAATACAAGCAGCAAAACCAGAGCCCATTACCAAAATGAAACCTGAGCTGAGCAATCGCTTGTTGTGGAAATGATGCAATCTCTGGTCTGATCTTCCAAAACAAAGAAATCATTATCATGTTGTTGCATATAAACACTACCAAGAGTGAAAACCAAATCTACGACCTCACCTGTGGTTCCGAGGCTTTTGTAGAACCGGTATTCCAAATGTAGCTGTGGGGCCCTCGACTTCACTGGTTCCTGTACCAAAAAAACATTTATTCATATGAGAAAAATAAACACATTTACTGTTATTTTACTAAATAAAAACTTTATTTTCCATGAAAAACTAGGCATCTTTAAAAATAGTTTGTTTTTATTATTCACATTCCACCTGGTTAAAAACAAATTTAACAAGCTACTATGGCATCATAAATGAGTGATGGCAGATTATTTAGTTTGATGACCTCTACAATCTRCAACTGCTGTCATCAATAAGAGCATTAACAGGAAGCCAAGCATGTACATCAATCCAATTCTTTCTACGGCCAGAAAGACACGTACAACAACCACATCAATAACCTCTACAATGAGAATCAAATGTATCCCTTTTTTTTWAAAATATCAACCATCAATCTTACTTTATTAGGACCCAAACTAGGGCTGCACAATATATCGCAAATTTATCATCATCACAATAACAGCCTGTGCAATAGACATATCACAAAAAACTGCACAAACTGCAATAAATTTTGGTCTAAATGTTTACATTTATGCATTTTGTCAGCATCTGTCTGATAAACAAAATGGACCTGAGATACCACATCAAATATTAACCACTTGGTCAGTGGAGATGTTGGACAACTGTAATGACAGGATTTAAAGTTGGAATTTAATTTTTAGCTTTTAATTAAAGTTAACTTAATTTCAGATGTTTTTATTATTTTTATAAAAAAATATGATAGTAAGGGTTGTTTTTCAGTATTTAGAGCATCAGAAAATGTTTTATGGGGTAGGTGTTTGCACGCAGTTGTTTCATGGTTAATACACCAGCTATGTGTAGTTGCACTTTTTTTAAAATAAAAGTCCTGTTGTAAAATGATGTGTTAGTTGTTTTGTTTTTCTTCTGAACCCAGAGCAGAAATACATCAACACTGCATACTTAATTTGTTCATTTATCGCAAGTCATATCGTCATTGCAATATGAAGCACTGTTACCACAGGTTTTCCTCATAACGTGCAGAAGACCCTACTGTTTTTGGAATGATTATTTTTTTATCAGGGTTTCTTTTCTCCAGACAGGAGGCCATTTTTACTATGTTCTGGTGAGCCTAGTGTCACAAAATTCAGCACATATTCAGAAGTATTCCAAATACATACGTGAATTAGTCCAGGACATACGAAAAGTCGTTTGGGACCATATTGCACAACAGGATGTTCGGCATTTTGAATGAAATGGCAATTTTTGGCCATTTTCACAAGTCATACCAAAATGCTATTTTGCCTTCAAATATGAGCACATCGATTTGAGATTTTAACTAGAGCCCTTGACAAGATAATGTGATTCAAGTTATAAAAGGCTTTTCAAAGATTTTGATGTTTGGGTGTGCAATCTTTTCAAATTCTGCTGTTTTGCCATCAAACTAGACGTTGGGGGTAACGTCGCCGTGCTGTCCAAACTTCACAAAAACCTATGTGCAAGATAGCCATCCAGACCTGAACACGGTTATATGACGTCTTGAATTCATCACTTGCTGTGTTTGAAAAAATTAAATTAAATTAAATAAAAAAGCAGGTTCAAATTTGTTGTGGAAAGCATAAACCCYTTGAAAGGCCAATTAAAATAAATTATATATCTTGTTCTAGTGGACCAAATATTGCAAAACTTGGCACATATTTAGAACTAGCAATAATATGGTGAGGCCCTTTACTCATTGCTTTTTTACTTTAACTCAAATGAAAACTGAGGTTACCCCTTCTTTCCTACAGCATACTGAATGTTCTATATGAATATCTCTGATAATGACACAGCCTCAACCACTTTTAAATAGTACTCATATAAAATGTACTTTGTAAAATCTTAAGTTTTGTATTAAACGTATTACAAGACATGGAAGTCAGGTGAACACTTACCAGTTTAATAGCTACATACTCGTTTGTGTAGAGATTCTTACCTAAAATAAGACAAGAGTAAAGGCATACGTTTTAAGAAGTAAGACATATAAAATTGCACATCATGATTCTCATTTAAATTTCCAACAAACCTTACAAATTCATTTGATTCAAAAATGTAACGTACCCAGCTTCAATTCACCAAAGTTTCCACAACCAATCTTCTTCCCCACACGAAAATTCGGTCCCACCATGAGGACCCCAGAGGTGCTCGAGGAGCCAGACGGTCGGGACGAGTGTCCACTTCGGCTTCCCTGGGAAACTTTGCCGCTTCTTGTTGGCCGCTCACCATATTTCTCTCTTTGCGGGTCCATGGTGTGTGCAGCACRAGCCTGGAGCGATGTTCAAAACGGCCTCCTGGGCCGGGCCCACCACTGCAGCCACAGTCCTGGTTACTGGTGGCACCTGGCTGGCGCAGTCACTCTCATAGGCCAGAAGCTAGAGCAGTTAATCCACACCCTGTCACCTTTAATCTTCGACAGGCCCCAACATTTGCCACGGAAAGAAGGTGAAGACCTGCAACAAATAAAGCATTAAAGAGAAAAAGTTAAATGCCTGTTTTGTAATCCATATGAATGCATTTTTAGAAAGAGGACATTGATAAAATATTGCAAAAGAAATTTGAGATGAACAGTTGAGATATTTGCCTGTGAAGTAACAGGAAGTGATGTCAAAGGGGAATGTCTGCACATGAACAGAGTGTTGTTACAACAGCCAACAACCCAGACTGTAGAGAAGAATCTGGTGTTTCTTTAGTTTATTTTGACTCCATCAGAGAGATGAAGAAGAGTCAGAGTTCAAATAATATTGTTTCAATAAACAAAGACCAGGGAGTTTTCTTTGTTAAAAAGTTCCCCTTTGATGTCACTTCCTGTTTCACTTTGGCTGAGCCAAGTTCAAAAGAAAATATGCCAGTTAAGGGACAAAATGGGTTAAATCATGTGTGTTGTTCCAACTTTCTTAAATATAAAGAGGTTTTCTTTGATTTTTTGTATTTGAAGAATATGCATGTCACAGGCACTTTAAGATTTTGAAGCGAACGTGAACAAAGCATTAAAGTACCTATTTCAAAAAGTTGCTGCACTCCCACTACCCAGTTAATCTTATTATATTCCCCGAAAAATATGTTGGATTGAAGAACACAAAACTATGTGATCTTTTTAAGTAAAATATTTAATAAAAACAAATGTTGAGAAAGTTTTACAGATTTAAGTGTGGTTTTAAATTCATGCAATACTTGCTTGACTTCAAATTTTCAAAACAATAAAAAAAAAATCTAATGTAAAAAAAAAAAAAGAAAGTTTGTCAACATATATAATTTATCCACATAAAAATTGAAATAATGAGAAGCTCAACAATACACAGTGGTTGCCCATCATGCTCCAGTATATTCTGTAAAACGTTACATATCATTGTGGTTAGTGTGCAGATAAAAGAAAAAAAAAAACAGTGAGGAATCAATTAGGCACATCCCACTGAGATCACTTTTTTATTTTTATTAATGGGAGAACTGGGCCAGAAGGCAGCCTAACATGCATGTTCTTTGTACTGTGGGAGGAAACCAGAGTACCCAGAGAAAACCCATGCAAATACAAAAATATGCAAACTCCAAACAGAAAGACCCCAGGCCCAACCCTGGAGGTTTAAGTCAGAATACTAAAAAACACGCATGAATCCTCCAGCACACACACTACAGTTTATAATTGTCATGCAATTACATTTCCTAAAAATAAAAGGCAAGAATGAGAAAAACAAATCTTATTAATTTCTGCTAGTCATTTAATTACAGCTTTTAAAGAACTGCGCAGCACAAAGCAAAGACAGAGGTGGATTTGCTCTGCACTGCTGGGTTTACAAGATAGCAATCAAGCTACAGTGGTCACAGAAAACACAGCAACCAGTCTGAGCATCAACAACGCTTAAGCCATAGTATGTGGTCACGACAGCATCGCACCACCCACAGCCCAGCGGAAGATGCCAGTGGAGAATATTATGTAAACAATTATATAAAGCCATGTCTGTTTGCAAGGACACGGGTCAGCTTTCTGAACTTCACTTGTTCTTTGCAATTATACAATAATTCAATTTAAGGAAATTAAGGGCAGCTTTGTGTGCTACAATTAAACACTAAAGCATACATTCTTTTTTTGCTTGATTTTAGAGATTTTCCGTTCTGTTTATCTTCAGCAAGTTTGCATAAATTCAATAAATTTAACTTTATTTGCTCAAAACTAAACCAACACATGATTTCAGTATTTTTTTTTAAGTAAGATTAGTGTTTTCTTGACAATGCTATAATTCCTGGGTACGGTACAGCAGTTGCTGAAAGTAGTGTGTGTGTGTGTGTGTGTGTGTGGGCTTCTGGATGACTCATGCTCACCATTGCCTGCACAGATTTTAGCATCAAAGGCAGTTAGTTTGCTCTCAAGGGCAACTTAGCACCATTTCAATTACATAAACCAGGAACAGCTATAAAAACGTGTTTGTAGCAGAGACCAGCGGTGAGCTGTAGCAATTTCCATCAAGCAAGTAATGATTTGTGGGCCTTTCTAATCCTTGGAGCTACAGATTGGTAACTGAAGAGGAGCTCACCACCTTCACACTTAAAACTGACACTCAGAATGTGTTCAGCCCATTCACACCAGACTATTCTCATGGATTACATCACAGGCGCTGCTGTTCGGTTTGTTGCAGACATCAGCTCCAGATGTTATGTTGTTGCAGAGATAAATTTTACTTATTTACAACAAGAAAGAGTGTTGAGCTTTCAGTTAAGGAAAATAAATGTAATCTTCTCTAAATGTCGATAAGATCGATTTAAATGTAGAAAACTTATTTGCACAATCTAAATTCTGTTTCTTCAGCCATCAGTGTTTTTAGAACCTAATATGGTTGACACAATTTCTCAGTGTTAGACCAAAAAAAAAAAAAGTTTTTACACACTTTAAATGAAAAAAACTCATTCAGAACATTAGGTTCATTGTTGTCAAAATTCTGAACCTATAGTCTAGGCCTATTTTTGCATGTATAATTTATTTCACCAGTTCAGCCATCCTGAGACATGTTCAGACATGTCTAACCAGAGGATTAAAGATGTAAAATAAAGCACCCCCCCCCAAACAAAATACAACCAATGCTAAACCAGAGCCGGAGCTCACCTAGCACTAGTTTCTGTTTCTATCACCCCAAGCTGTGGCGCCAGCAGCACTGGGGGTGGGCTCATAAAGACCACCAACCAATGAAAACATCCAGGGATCCATGTTTAAGAGTTTCAATACAGTTTTACTTTGCTTAATTTAAGACAAAACACTTTGCTTCAACAACATTAAGATAAATTACACATGGAATAACGTGCACACTATCATCTTCTTAGTGTTTGTGTTTAAAATGACAATCAAGAAACAACAGATCAGAGACGCACAAAAAGCTGCCGTCACAATCACAGTTCATATTCACTGTCTAAAGCACCGTTTACAAACCTGTCAGCTCTTTAATATCACTAGCTGGTGGTGATGGATTTTGTTAGTGCCGTTGTGTGCATCTCTTATTCACAGCAACATTTACACATATGATCAGAACTGCTGGTCAGCAGAGCATTCACACCATTTGTTGTTTAAAATGGTGTTTCTGAAATAGGTAGTTGATATTTGGACATATGTTTCTATTCTGTGATCCTCTATAGCAGTGATTCCCAACCAGGGGTACGTTTACCCCTTAGGGTACGCTAGGGTTGGGCATAATCGTATCGTGTGCAATTAATCGTCAGAAAACCATTAATCTATCACTTTTTGGCACTTGACGATAAATATGATTAATGCCACCAGGCAGACTGACTGGGAATTACTCCGGTTAGTCTGCTCGGTGCTCCTCTCTGCTTCAAATATGATGAACATTAAAAATAAAATTCTGTACATTATTTACCTATCAACACAATTTAAAATATGATGTATAGCCTGAAATCTGTAATTTTCACACAGATTAGAACAATCATTTACAAAGAGCAAATCTTTCCCACTATATTGGTCATGTGACTACAAAATAAGGGTGTTCAAGGACTCCAGGGGATTAATCGTCTAATTAATCTTTATTGGCTAAATACCACACTTAATCGTGATAATTTTTTTGCCAGTATTGCCCAACCCTAGGGTACGCGAACATATTACAGGGGGTACGTGGAAACATTTCCCAGGACTGGGATATGTTAGGTCCCTATGATTTCTGCAATGCAGAAAATGCAGACGGAATCGCGTAATTGACAAAACAAAATGGAATCCAGTATAAAACACTGAATTTCATGGAACTTGCTCTTTTGGGCAAATTTCTGATGTATTTTGGATGCTGCTGCTTCCTTCACCTTTTACCTGGTTTATTTATTAATTACTTATTCACCAGGCAACCTTTTTATCTTTGTTTAATTTACGTTGAAAAGAATAAAATGCCTGAGAATTAAATGTTCAAGTTAAGGGGGTTAAAGAAATAATTTTCATTTAATGTTTTACATTATAGTTTTGGAGAATCATCATTACGTTTGACTGAGGGGGTACTATGGGTATGACAAATGGCTCAGGGGGTACACAAGCCTAAAAAGGTTGGGAACCACTGCTCTATAGGTCATTATGGTGAGGGCTCATGACCACTCCTATTTTTATTTTATTAAAACTTGAACCTAAAACATTGCAAGCAAATTTATTTAGACGTTGCTTCTTTGACTTGTTTTAGTGATGGACCATWTATGGTGGGTAGTGTAGAAGGTGGTTACACTCCTTATTGGTCAGCCCAGTGCTGGGTGGTATGATCCAAATTTTATATCACAATATTTTCAAACTATTATCCCAGTATTGCGGTATTTGACTGCATTTTCTTTTCCGTCACAGCTCAGCTGATGCTAAAATGTACAAAYGCTGCTTATTGATCAGCAAACCACGGTCAGCTGAAGTTACTCTCTTTCTGCAACACAGAAGTTATTTTTTTACTTTTTTCTTTTGCTGTACCTTGTGTCACGTTCTCTCCTTTGTCAGGTTGTAGACCAGTGGTTCCCAAAGCGTGGGGGGCAGTGTCATTGCAGGTGGGGCGCGGCTTGACTGAATGGAGGGGAGGTGGAGGGGGGGAATGCTCAGACGTTATTGGTCAGGACAGGTTTTTGATGGAGATTTATTCTTAATCAACAAACTTATTTTTTTCCTCTCAGGGTGTTGTTTATGTTTAAAAACCCACTTTGCACAAATACTTTTTTAAGTTTTATTGAAGCAAAGTTGAATATTTTCACAAAGTTAAAAAATATTACACTTAAATAATTACTGTTAAGATGTTTTTAAGAGGTTTTAATTTCTTGCAATCTATTTTTTTTCAGTTTTCTTTCATTAGCTCAAATGTTAAAGAACATTTTGTGGTGAGAAATAAACTGAAATGAGTTTAAAAACAAAATATCTGTGTATGTGGTTGGAGACTGTGTGTGTGTGTGTGTGTGTGTGGGGGGGGTCGAGAAACAAGTGTGTGTGTGCGTGTGTGTAGTTGTGGGGCATGAAATTATTTTTATAAACCAAAGGGGGGCCCATCAGAAAAGGTTTGGGAACCACTGTTGTAGACATTAGGCAGGTACAGTCGTAGAGGGAGAGTGTCGAGCAAAGATCATCGTCAGGAAAACAGCGACGCTAGCTTGTCCTTTGTGCTGCCCTGTATGCACACTGAGCGGTGCTACACAGAAAGGTGTCCCCCTGAAACAGTTTACTGGCGGGCCCGACGTAACTTCTAGGCCAAGTAACTTCAGTGGCAAACAGCTCCAGCGAAAAAGTGGAACGCTTCGAATAAAAGAGGAGGGCGCTTTCAGGACGCTGTGCAGCAGCTTTTCTACAAGCACAGCTTCACCTGTGTTTCTAAAGACTGAAGTGTCTCTACTGAACCCTGAACAACCTGAGTGAACTCAGCTTTCCGGCTAGTAGCGCCAAACGACTGAGAACCACGTCTCACACATTCAAAATACTACAGAAGGAGCAACAATAAATTACTGGAGCAGACATTTAATGTGATGTAAAGACATGACTGAAAGTTGGATCTCTGTGAAAAAACAAACTGGTTTCTTACTGTATTTTTAAAGAGCCATTCAAGAACCAGCTCCAGCACCAGCCCTGACCAAGTAGTCAGGGCTGGTGTAGTAGTTGAACAATTGATTTACTGTTTAAAAAAAAACAAAAACAAAGAGATTAGTTAAGTTTTCTGTAACCTCTAGGTGTAAAGGCATTTTAAAGTATGTGTTGTAAAACCAATGTAGTGTAGTGTTTAAAGATATTTTATCAATATGTTTATTTATTAGATGAAAAAGCTAAAGTTGACATTTTGTTGTGCTAACTAGCGCAATAACCTTTCAACAACAACAACTGCCTTTGCAAATGCTGAGCTGACACCATGTTCAGGGTGTAGACTGCATCGTGTTATTCCTGGTAGCTTTTGGTTTTGATGTGGGGAGGGGGAATCCCCAGCTTTTATTCCTGTAAAAAGTGCCATGTAACCTGATGAATGAGGATGTATGTCATGGTGAACACCTTTTGGAACTCTTTAAAAGAGGTGCATTCCTCAGAGGGAGGAGACAGAAATAAAACGAATTCAGATGATTTATTAAGTTAATTCCCTTCTTAAATGTGTGCAAACTTTTGTTTCTTTAACTGAAGACTTTTTACCTTATTACAAAAAACACAAGTATTATAGTATATACAGTCTAGTAATATCTAAAACCCATCTAAAATACATAGGGGTGCCAATTAAATAATTTTTATTGATTGGTATTGAAGTAGCAGGTCATATTGACAACTGCTCTTGATCTGTTGTTGGCCTACCGCCTGTGGTTTTACATCAGCTGCGTCTTAAGCTGATGTAAGAAGTTGTGACAACATGTGTGCAGTGGAAATATTTTAAAATACAAAATGAAAGCAGGTCTGTACCTACTTGAAATGTTTACAATCCAGGAATTTCTTATTGATTTAATTAAATGTTAAAATTTAAACGCTCACGGAGTTCACCTAGCTAAAACTAACAGAGCTAAGCTACTCACTTCAGAGGAAACTGTAAAGAGAAGAGACAAGTTTCCACAAGACAATAAGTACAAAAGGATTTCAGAACAGACGGCTGAATTTATCGCTCAGGAAAAGGAAGTGGGTTTTTGTCACCATTTGGAATAGCAAATACCTAAAAAAGACCCAACATGATGAACGGGGACAAAAGAATCAGGACATTCTTAGACACAACTGTCTCAGATAATGATCATGTTTGCATTATCATCAATATTTACCTGTTAGAATAGAAAACCACAAGTTAGGATTAAGAAAAGATTTGTAATTTCACACAATTTGTCCAGCAGAGGTGACTGGTAAAAAGGTAGCTCTGTCTCAATGTGTTGMTGCCTTTTGCTCAGGGCATATATGACATTTGCAGTTTTATTTTTAAATCCTTATAGGAAAAAAAGGCTTTTTTCTTCGACTGATATTCCTTCTCACATGTAAAATACTTTTTTAAAGTGCTAATTATCAACACAAATACACCATGTCAAATGGGTATTATTAACACCAATAGTGTAACAAGGAAATCCCAATTATTTATGACAAATAACTGTTCATTTTCAGAAATTCCCACCACGCTGTTAGAGATGAGCTGATATTAATGCTTTTGAAACAAACATGTTTTATGTTTATGCTAATGAATGGAAGGTCTGAAACCCTAATATCATGGCACAGTGTTTGTTTTATGTCAATCTAGGATTCGTCTAATTGGCTAGGATTTATCCATTTTGAGATAGACTGTAACCTGTTGGCAATGAAGTAGTGGTAGAAGTTGGGAAGATCTAGTCCTCCCTTATCTTTAGTTTTCTGTAGTGTTTTTAGTTTTCTATAGTGTGATTGGAAGACTTAATAAAATTAAACCACATCCCGCTTTTAAAGAAAATTGACGATGATCTAACTAGATGGAAATCTCTACCCATATCACTTATGGGAAGAGTTGCTTCAATTAAAATGATGGTATTACCCAGAATAAATTATTTATTCTTAACGATACCAAATAAACCTTCACCTGACTGGTTTAGATCCCTGGATTCTTTCATCTCTAAATTCCTTTGGAAAAAWMCCCCCCCCCCCCCCCCAACGTATTAGTCTAAATTAACTGTTCAAGTATGAAATATTTTTCTTTTACAGGCTAAATCAAGACCGTTGACCATTTAAACCTAATACAATATATGTAAACAATAACTTATAAACTGATATTTTTGAGAGTTGCAAACCAGCCAGATTAAAAGAGACAATTCATTGTTAATAATCTGCTTTTCACATTAACAAAGAAATGGTAAAAAGTAATGACCTCAGGTTTATCAAATCACTAGTTTTCGTTTAGATAACCTTCTAAATGTGTCTTATTTCTCAGTTGAGCTCTGAAAATTAAGAAGCAGGATATTAAAAGATGGGATAAAGAGACACATTTTATTGAAACTGAACATAAAACGTAATTAAAAGTTTAAGCAAATGGATATAACCATGCAGCATAAATATTTTATTCAGAAACAATAAAGCACTCAAATTCTGAATAAGCCTTGGTTATGGTCTAGAATTTTTACTTCTCAAAATAGTCAGAAAAACAGAAGTAATTCTGGGTGATTAACAGGAATTAAAAACGACTAATGCATCGACGGTTGTTAAATTCATAAATAAAAACAAAACTGCTCCCAGTGCAGTGATTAACCTTCAGTGGAAAGATCAGACTTTGAGGGGGGGCCTGCCAACTGAGCAGACTCCCACTGTGGTGGTGGTGGTGGTGATGGTGCCAACTACCAGCTGCCGCTTCTCAAAACGACTTGTTGGCAGTTTAAATGCTTCCAGGTTACTCTTTATACCTCCAACACCACACTGTACTTCTGTGCAATCACATTCACAAGAATGGTCTGATGTTATCCCCCGACAAAGACGATTTCTTCTCAATGTTTATATTTTCAAATAGACTGCAAAAACAATTAAAAATACACTGAAGTATTTCCAGTACAACTAAAAATGCATGTGAATCACCTTGAGTAATATGCTTTAAGGTGAAGCCTTAACTTAATATTGGCTTTTATCTCATTGTTGCACGAACAAATGAAAATAGAACTTATTATTTTACATAATGAACTAACCATCTGTAAATAGTTAATATTTTGAGTGCAGCAAATTAAGGAAATGCACGTTTTGCAAGTTTTACCAGACTCGCTTGAAGGTTCTTTTTTTTCTTCTACTACATTTGCACCCTAACAAAACTTACTTCAGCACATGTTTAATACAACTTTTGGAGACCTGTAAGCTAAAAGTCAAAATAGCCTAATTTTCCCAGTGTCTGTGTAAGATTAACACCCAACCATGAGCAGTGTGAAGTAAGAACTAAAGCTATCTGTGGGGAAATGTTAKTCAGAAAGGCAGGCAGGAAGGAGATCGATTATTTTTAGGCCTAGAGCTTAACTAAAACAAGAAGACGAACAGGATTGTTTCACTGACAAAGCACAGCGTGSTGCTTTATCACAAGAGGTGGTCATATCAATCAGGAAACGAATAAACCATTGACGAAGACAAATTAACCTTTGCCAACATCCAACATGACTTAGCCGTAAAGCTAACGTTAGCAAAACATTTCTTAGCCACAGTAGTTGATAAGACCTAAAATATATTATGTGGGGGGAAAAAAAACACGTGAATATTTTCTTGTTTACCATTTAAAAGAGTGGTTTAAACGATATAAAATATTTTTTTTTTATTTACGCCGAACGCCAACTGATGGCTAGGTGACAGCTGGCTCGAGCGCAACAAGGAAATTAGCTCAGTTAGCAACAAAAATATGAGCTAATAGCAAAAGGGGGAGAAAAAAAATCTAAGAAGCGTTGCTCTGCTAACTCCCCCGCAAACTAAACCCACCAGACTGACCTTCCAGGGCAGTAGATCCAGGAGAGCAGGGCACAGCTCGGATGTGAGTCACGTCAGACGCGGACGGACACCGGGGCTTCATGTGAAATTTTCTGCGCCTCTTCTTGTTGCTGGTGTTCGGCGCTAGCGACTGTTAGCGCCTCTCTCCATTCTTCGTCCGCCGCTCGGGGAAGGTTCGGACACAGCGGATGTAGAAAAACGGCACCGCCCGCTTCACAGAGCACACTTCCAGGTCAAACCGAACCGGGCTGTTAATCAAGCCAACACCACCAATGATGGGATATAAGATTATAAACCCTCATGATGATGATAATGATCTGACATCTGAGGCCAACCTAACTGTTCTTTTTTTGTGTGGATACTTATTTAGCATCAACAATATTTTCACAATATTATATTATTTTAGTTACGTTTTTTTCTTCAATCTTAGTCTACTTTTGCATGTTATGCTACTTTAAACATTCACATACAGTACAGACCAGAAGTTTGGACTGTTTTATTTGCAGGATTCAGATTGATTGAAATGGGCTTCCCTGGAATTACCTGTTTGTAAATCCTTTGAGTTGGTTGATGAGCTAACTGATCAGTGGATTTATACACACAAGACCACGTTTTCATCCATTTTTACACTGTCTGGGAAAAAAAGGTCACCAACAATGAAAAGGGTCACACTCTAATAATATTTGTTGGAACCTTTAAGGGAACAGCTTGTCTGTGGCATTGTTTCAATAAGCTTCTGCAATGTTACAAGATTTATTTCCATCCAGTGTTGCATTAATGTTTCACCAAGATCTTGCATTGATGATGTTAAGAGTCTGACCGCTGCACAAAGCCTTCTCCAGCACATCTCTTTTTTTGTCACTTCAGTAGAAAATGAAACCAAATATTAGTTTATTTAGTTTATTTATTTCTTCATCATCAGTGACTTTTTTTTAAGTGAAGAGAAAATAGAGACAGAGAGAAAAACAGAGAGAGAAGTAATTAGAAAGATAGAAAGATTGAAATAGCGATTAGAAGTATATTAAATATACACCAACAAAACACAGGACCACACACCCAACATCTGTCCGCTCACCTGAAAAATAAATGGATAAATACATGGAGGGCATATATAAAAATATACACATACCCATACATATATAAAGATATACATACAGTACATACATGCCTACATTCATAAATATTGTCTGTATATACACACAGACATATACACACACTCAGTGACCTGTCAGAACCCCCGGATCAGAACACCTGTCTGTRAGCAGTTGTGAACATGTGTGTATATACAAGATTTCTTCAATGGAATATTTAATAGTGACTGTGGAGGACCGAGACCCAACCCCCAAGACACGAGGCAGACATAGGGAAGACCAGAGCCCAAGGGCCCGAGAGGAATCCCGTGCGCAGAGCCCCAAGGGGCACCCGCACGGGAAGATCCGCCCACCCACYCCCCAGATCAGACCATCTCCAGCACATCTCAAAGATTCTCCATGGACTCTGTGGAGCCAATCCATGTATGAAAATGATGTCTCATGCTCCCTGTGAACCACTCTAACAGTTCCAGCCCCATGAATCCTGGCAGTGTCATCTTGGAATATGGTCAGGGAAGAAACAATCCATTGATGTAATAACCTGGTCATTCAGTATATTCAGGTCAGCTGACCTCATTCTTTGAGCACAAACTGTTGCTGAACCTGGACCTGACCAACTGCAGCCACCCSACATCATAGACCTTAGTTAAATCCAGGTGGCAAATCTTTATTTTTTTATTTTTTGGCCAGGCAGTGGATCAACTAGCAGCATTAAGTACTGCCTATGTACAGTACAGACCAAAGGTTTGGACACCTTCTCATTCAAAGATTTTTTTTTATTTTTGATGACATTGAAAATTGTAGATTCACACTGAAGGCATCAAAACTATGAATTAATTATATACTGAACAAAAGAGTGTGAAACAACTGAAAATATGTCTTATATGGAGAATATGACATATTTTTTAGTTGCTTCACACTTTTTTTGTTCAGTATATAATTAATTCATAGTTTTGATGCCTTCAGTGTGAATCTACAATTTTCATAGTCATGAAAAAAAAAAGGGTGTCCAAACTTTCGGTCTGTTGTATATTAAAAAGATCAGATCACTCAATGGGTTCTATAGATTTTTTAACTTTTGTTTTACACCGATAAAAATATAAATATTTTCCAGATATGTCTTTTTAATTCCTATAAAAGGGTATTCTCTTTAAAACCTGCTTTTAGTTTTTAGCTACTATTCTGCAACCTTTAGCTTTTAAGTCTGTGCTGCACAGCCTTTTGATACTTTTAACTTTTAGCAATTCTTTGCTTTAGTCAACCTTTTGCTACCACTAGTTTTGCTAGTTTTAACTTTTGGAAACCTTTTGATGCTTTATAGTCAGCCTTTTGCTACCTTTAGCTTTCAGCTAGGCTTTTACCATTATTATCCATAATTTTACTTTTAACTTTCAGCAACTGTTTTGCTACTTTTAACTTTGGCTAGAATTTTGCTTTTTTTCAGCATTTTTTTCTGCTTTAAGATATTATTTTGCAAATTTGCTACCATTAGTTTCAGCCAGCCTTTAGCTAATTTTCATTAACCGAGTCAAGTCAGTTCCTGAACCCCTGATCTAATAATTTTTTGGACACTTGTGCAACACCATGCAGCTTTCATTTGATCACATGCATTTCAAGAACAGGGTTTTGCAAATTTTCAACCATTGTCTTCATATGACGTTCTAGGTGTTCACTCAAACATACTTCCAAATCCCCCTCCAATGTGTCACTCAGTTGTGCTGCAAAATTATTTCATATCTAAAAACAAGGACACAAAACCTGAAATCACAAAAGTAGTGCCCAAAACTTAAACTTTTATTTTATACATCTGCCTGTCCGGCAGCTCCAGGAAAAATGTGTGCGTGAACGCAAAGTGGTTACAAAAATAAAAACACATTCCTGCGTAAATCTGACATAAACTACACCTAGAAATGCAGATTCAGAAAATAAAGGGACCGCAGCATCCAAATGGCAGTTTATATCTGTCAATGTTTTTTTTAACCAGTTTATCAGAAAAGTGGGTTACAAACAATAACAATATTTTTATAATTCATTTCAAGCACTGTACATGTAGTAAACAATCACTGCTAGAGCTCCAGATCAAATGGGCACTCTTCTCCGACACATTAAATGTAACAGCTGTTGTCAAACATGGTTAATAACACGTTACTCAGTAAATATAACACCAAAAAAATAATACCAATGAAGACGATTGCATTTTTTTTTAAACAGCTCTGACAAACCTGGTTATATTTATCTTTATATGCTTTTTGAATTCATTATATATTCTGTAGGAGTGTGCTAAAACTTCAGATCAGTTTCCTCAGTTATTAATCAGCCATGATTGAGTAAAAACTGCACCAAAAAGAAGAAGGTATAATAATAAACAGTTGTTGGAGTGTAATTACTTGCATACAGCTATCTTCTCAGGTAAACTACAGACAATGATACTTAGGGGAGTACCTCAAAATAAACATTTCAACATACTTGTTTAAGCAAAAATACATTTCCCACTGACAGGACGGTGAGGCACACACATACTACAGACAAGTTAATCTCAGCTGGAACTTTGTTTTTATGTAGTCTTAATATCAAAAAACATAAACAAGGGAGTACATCAGAGACCTGTTGTGAAAAGGCGGCAGCTTATTATATCAAAGTTCTGTACAAGATACGAGAATAAACTGTAAGTAAAAAGACAAGAAGAAAAGAATGGATGGAAGTTTCTTGCGTGCTGCAAAATCATCCTCTCAGTTCCCGCTAAAGAGGCAGAAGTGTCCAAAAAGGCAGTTGGGTCTTTATATAAATAAAAAAAAATCTCCCACTTCATCAAGCTATTGCCTTGGCCTCAGGCAGGAACGCCTCCCAAAACTTTATAAGCTGGAAGAAAACCAAACCAAAGGGAACAAAATGGGTTAAATCACGTGATGAGACATTCATATGTGAAAAATGTCTGAACATGCACTTGATTTGGTTTAATAATCACCCGTTGTTGAGACTGCAGCATTGCCTCCAAGTATCTGATTATCTGGCTCTTGAAGTCCTTGGCTTTTTCTTTCTGTGAAGACAAATTGCTCGTCACGTCAAGATCTTTGGCAGCGGAAAAGCCAGCTGCAGAAATTCTTTTAGTGGAGCATAAATTCTTCCACAGAGCATGCAGAAGGATGTTATTCTGAAGAATAACTAGTAAAACATTTTTTTTCTTTAAAAGGGGGGGCCGTTATTTAAAATAGATTTTATATCCTGTTATAATGTCTCATCAAAATCATACCCAGTGTTRCTTTGACTCATTCATGCATGTTTGAGAAATCCTTGAATCTCCTGTAGCCATGTGGAGCTGATTAAATGCTTGCTGGTACGAAGCACCGCCTATTTACACAAAGCTCCTCCCCTAGAGCACCCTTCCCTCACACCTCCACCAAAATGTATCTTAAAAATGGTGGATCTATATTTATAGTTTCTTCGCTTAACATTGACCTAAGAAATGAGGATTAAGTCAAATTTGGTCGAAATCTAATCACATTTTCAGATTCTTGGCTTTAAAAGCTTTATTTTGATACTGGTTCATTCTGATACCACAAGCTTATCCAGAGATATGATTTAATTTGTCTCGTTGATTGTGATAATACTCTTTGGTCTGAATCCTAATTTTTTGTAAATTTTTGTCATTTTTTATGTCAATATAAAGAGGAAATCTCAGAGAGTATTTGTATATTAAGATTTCCCAGCTGGAAAGAAACAAAAACATTGCTAGCTCAGAGGGAAAAATTCAAAATTTAAAAAAAGGTGTTTTTCCTCAAAATCAGGTTTTTAGATGTTATTGCTCAAAAAAATGCTTCAATAAGTTTTTTTGGATTATATTTTAGACAGTTCATTCAAATGATACATTGGCATTAATTCATTATATTTTGACACAATGCAATTTTTTCACTCGTTTAAATCAAAACCCCTATATCTGCCTATATCTCCACATCCCAATTTTGGACTTAATCCTTGTTTTTTATGTGATGGGTCACACATATGTATGAGAATGACTGTAAGATATATTACCAAGCTGAAACATCTTGTAGGACTTTCTCTCTCTCTCTCTCGTGGCTCCAGTTCTTCAGAAAACGTACTTTCAGAGTCTAACATGGTAACATTCGAGTAAGCTTCAACTGTATCTTGAGTTGCCTTTTTCCAGAACCGATATTATCTAAYGTTGCTTCTTTTTAARCCTAATACAACACTCCTATGAAAGGTTGKAAACAGCAAGAAGCACTGTTGTGAAGACGTGCTGAAGTGGGAGTGTAAGAAATGGTAGAATGTTCTTAAAAGGAGGACAGAGGCCAAATTCAATGTGTTTAAATATAGGCTTTGATGCAAAGTCAATTTTATTTTTGATACAGCTTTTTCACAACTGAAAGTGACAGTTACTTGACTGTGGTATAGAATTGAACTATATACCTGGAAAATACATAATACCCCTTTTAAGAAATGCAAACATTGTTTTCTAAATTGTTCACTGAACATCGTTGAAGKCAGTCTCATAATGGCGCTACATGTGATCGTAAGGAAAAGCCAAAGTCAGCGACGTTATTCCTCTGAAGAAAATGAACGTCTGTCTTTGCAGAATTCCTGGGTATCTGATGTCCAGKGTGTTGAAATACAGGTCTGAGAAACACGCCTCCAAAATGGCTGAAAGCTTCCCTCTCGACACTAAACCTCCGGACTCAGAAACCCAATCCCATTCTTCAAAAGTCCCATTTCACAATGTTTAGGTACTTGGTTTACAATGACCTCTTTTCCAGCACTTCCTACACTGCAAGTGCTCAGAATGGATCGAATGCAGCTGAAACATACAGCGTCTACAGAAAGTACGCTATTATCTCTGCAGATTCTCTCAAGATGAAGAATAAGATCCAAGCTGGAGTACGAGATAAAAACAATCCTTTATCTACATACCTCAAATCTGAGAACTTCTTTGCGTACAGTCATGCCAATCCTGTCAAAATCTCTCTCATACTGAGTAACTCGTGCCTCCCACTGAGGACAAACAGGAGAAAGGACAAACACATTAATGTCATATTTCACACCATTTTCCAGCAGGTTGTTTTAGAAATTAAAAGAATAAACTATTAATATTGTTTTAACTAAGAACTTTAAACATGAGGACTGAAACACCCACATGTTCAGTAATGTAAACATTGTATCTTACAGGGATAAACAACCTGTCAAATGATGGTAAAAACACCAGACACAACAAAGACACAAATAGGGGTAGAGTTAACCCACTGTTACCCTTCTGAGCTAACACAGGTAGTCACAGGGGCAGAGTGTGTGTGTGAATTACCAGAGTGGACTGGAGGTCTTTGTGAGCACGTTACAGAACCATGAGTCTGTCACTTGGCCATCAAGATCTTGAGTTGATGGAAAATAAGTGAAAACTCATGGAACAGCAGAGTGCCTTAAAGCTATTATTCACACAACAATGACCTATTTAGGTAAAATAGAGCAGCAGAGCTCTGAATTAGAGGGGTAGTTCATTTTTTTTTTCAGTTTTTTTTTAAATAGGGTTGTCTGCAGTGCTTCAGAGTAGTCAGTATCTTACCTGCAAATAGCAGTCAGAGCAATCAGAGTTTGGAGAATCAGGGAGAAGTTCACAAAGCAACTCGAGTTAATGGCTGCTCAAAGCAGGGCCAACACGCTGTGAGCTTCTAACATTCACATTAACTCAAACTTTTTAAGAAGTTTCAGAAAACGTTTGGGATTTTTAAATCTAACGAGGTTTGTTTTAAGATATCTGTCTGATAAAACGTGTTGCATAAACTCATCCTAAATGGTTATTCTAAGCAGCAGTTAGATCAGGGGCCGGCCACCCTGCAGGCTTCACTTGTTTCCCTGCTCCAACGCTCCTCAGTCAGGGACCRATCAACCTCTTCAAGTTCTGCAGAAGCCGGTTAAACAACCATTCTTTGTGTTGGAGRAACAAGACGAGCAGAACAGTGACCCTCGAGGACTGCTATGGCTTCTGTCTGCTGCAGATAAGACATGTTAGCTTTCTGCAGCTCACAGCACTGRTGCTACAGAGGCTAAGATGTTTCACCTGTGAAAACATACCTACAGGCATCAAAACTATTCACACTTCCCTGCTTTGAATCAAGTGGACACTTTAACTGTGTGTACTGGTTGCTTTGGGAGCCGGATCAGTAATAAATGAGYTTATTTTTATTATGAGGAACCTGTTTGCACTAAAAATGAATGAAAGAGTTAAAAAGGTTTTTTCATTTGTCCAGGATGGTTGTAATCTGCACATCAAGTCGTGCTATCCTCAGTGTTTTGTAAATAGAGTTGGTCCAGGAAAGAAAAGTCAGGACAGGTTCTGCTGGTGTACTGTAAATACGTGTTGGGCTGCAGGAACTGCTGGGTCACRGGATCCGTTACCTCGCTGATCTCTTCTTTGGCCTGCTGCAGCTTGTCGGGTTTGTTAGCCCACAGCAGCTTGGCCTCGGCCTCCCTCTTCTTCTGGAGCGTGCTCTGAGCCTCCTGCCATCGCTGCCAAGCTCGAATGCGCTGGTCAAAGCCCCCCTGTTGACATCATTATCTATTTAGTCACAATACTCTCACCTGGATGCTGCAACAAGCTGAACAGGCAGCAGAAAACATTGTAAAGATTACTGGAGTACACCAACTCCAGACTTATTATTTTGTACTACGATGCATACTTTTAGAACTAGTCAGTGGTTTTAGTCCTGGCATTGCTCCGGTTTATTTTTCCCAGGCATGCTACGGCCTCGGTGTCAGCTCACCCTCACAGCACCCAGCAGGCGGATGTAGTCAGCAAGCAGCTCTGCTAGGATGAAGAAATCACTGGCTGCCTGCTCCTGGTGCAGCTGCTCCATCTTGTCCTCCACCTCAGCCAGCTGGGAGAGGGCCCGTGACAAGGCTGTGTTGTCCTCGGAGTTCCCCAGCATGGCCATGCTTTTGGCAAATATGGCCGTGTTTCCACATAGCTCTGGTGTTTAAAGGAGAAACAGAAAAAMCAATTAAGCTAATTGTTTGAGTCACATCTGCTGGTTTGAGTTTATTCTATTTTTTTTTACACTACAGGAAATAATCTACTCAGAAATCCTGAAAACATGAAACCGACCCTTCCTGTGACTGACAAGAGAGTCGACCACAGCATGAAGCTTCTTCAGCTGCTGCTCCTCTGCCTCCACTTCCTGAAACTTGTCCTCAAACCACTGAAGCACAACRAAACAGAAACACACAGACTTATCAGCTTTTACTGCTAGACCTGTTTGTCCTGAGTCATATCAGTTATAGAAAACAGACCAAAGTATTTCAAATAACAGCTTGTTTTTGTCCTAATTTAACCTTTTTGGACCATTTTAACTCACAATCCTAAACCTTAAAGGGATCTCTGACTGCTGTTACATGTTGCCTTTAATATGTTCTGTGTTACTAAAAGTTGTTTACTTTAAAAATAGTACAGATTTATTACATGTTCCACTTAAGCACATAGCCATTTTGTTATTTATGAAATTATTCTGGTGAGGATGATGATGGGTTACAGTTGAGACCAAAACTAAAGTCAATGCTAAAAAGCTATAATATGTGACAAATTCTGCATTAGTTTCTATGTTTTGCACAGTAAATCGGTTGAAGTGATCAAAGGTAATGCTGAGTAAATTAGCTCGGGAGGTAATGCGAAAGCTAACAGGCTAAAGCTGAGGTTCTCCCTCCATGAAGCAGCTCTGTTGTCCTCCATCACAAATATATATTATAAACAGTACAGTATTTTTACAATCATTTTTATAGTTGAAGCAAATCTTTGTCAAATAATGCTTAATGTTACAACTAGTCAGTGGTTTTGTTGCACCTGATGATGTTTTTTGGGTTTATTCTTCTGTTTAATATCACATAACATAACATTTATATTAGGCCTGTAAGAGGATGCTAACCATGCATGCTAACCAAACACTCCACTGTGAAGTTGGTTAAAATCTGTATAAACARATTTTCCATAATCTGACAAACCAATGATTTATTCCCCACAAGTTCAGAACATCAGGGTGAAAGTGAAAAGTGTGACTGTGTCCTCTTACAGTGTCGGACTCATTCATCTTGATGGTCATCTTGCTGACAGCGTCTGATGCCTTGGTGATCATCTTGAGGAAACCGGCTCCACTGAGTGTCTGAGTGTTTACTGCTCTGGGTAGCTAAAAATCAAAACAAACAGCACTTTTTAAATTACTTTCGCATTAAATTTAAACGATTACATCTAAAATATTTTGACACACAGCTATTGTTTATTTTTTTTTTACTTTAAACCTAAAATACTCACATCGTCTCGTTCTAAAAATTCCCGAACGTCAGGATCTTGCAGGATCAGTGCGTGGGACACAACTCTCTGAAGATACCTGCACAGGATCAAATGAAAACAATAATGGTCATCTCTTTAATGTCGACATGGTAAGGAAGCATGGATGGATCGGCACCTCTCCAGAGCCGCTCTTCTCCTTTCCACGAACTCCACTGATGATGGATCGTCCATCCCCACCTTCACTTTAGTCATTCCTGTTGGTTCAGACAACCGTTACAAGAGACGAGCAAGCAAGAGACACCGTATGCAAACTTTACACAGGTGTTCCCACCTACGACACTCTTCTCAGGAGGTGGTGGGATGATGCAGCCGTGCAGCGACTGCTTGACAGAGAGCTTCTCGTAAAGACCCAGGAAGTCGCTGAAACGTCTCCTTACAGTAAAGGCCTTACTTTTAAACATGGGCAAGGAGGTCTGGAGGAAGAGAAAAGAGGAGATGAGAATAACCTAGAACAGTTATGTAAAAATGTATTAAAAATGTTTAAATACAGACCCGGGTTGATACTTTGTAGGCAACGTATGCATTCATGCCATCTCCTAAAAAGATGACGTTATGTTTGAGAAGTATTTAGGTTTCAATATGAGAAAATTTACTTTAAAATAATTAAAGTGTGAAAGTCCTCAGTGTATCACTGCACTTTCCAAATAAAAACACAAATAGACTGACCGACTTTCTCTGGGTTGGTGACGGCAACATCCACGTCAAAACTGTCCCCAGATTCATCCTCCTCCAGCTGCAATGAACCAGACCAGAGTCACACAAATCTAATTAAACTGGAAACAGTTTGCACATTTAGCCATCAAACACGGTGCAGGCCAAACAAAAGAAATGCATCCATTAATGGTTCACGGGGAGAGTTTAGCCCAGACGAGGTYCGTACCTGCTCCAAGGAGGTGGACTGCAGGGCTGCAGGGCCTCGAGCCAACGAGGAGGCGGGGAGCTCCTTCTGAGCCGAACTGCTGGACTTGCCTGAGCTTCTATCTGCATGTGCCTCTGTGGAAAGAAAACACTTTCAATCAATGCAGAACACGAAAAAATAAACACACTGCAATTTCTCAACGTGACAACTTTTACACACACACACATACATATATATATATATATATACACACACACACAAAAAAAAAAGTCAACATTTATTTATAGATTATAGTTTGATTAGATTTAACAAAGTGCAGGAGCTCAGGTAGTTGGTTCCACCGACGGTGCAGCGATCAAGTTTTTAGCTCCTCTGTCTCCTCTGTGATTTTTGCCACGCTGTATACAAAACATGAACTTCCTGTGTGAAGTTTTTTTTTGCATATTGTCTTTTTTTTCCTTTTTTACTTCCCAGTTTAGAAACGACGTCTCACACATTTCCATGTGTGAAAAATCTCCAGCTCTAACTCTCCACGCTTGTAGAGTGAAAAGAACTGAAATGAACTGAAAAATCTCATCTGTTCTGACCTTTTAAAGACAAAGGAGATTTCTGAGATTAAAAGGTGTATCTGAGGCCTCGTGGTGAAGAGGGAGCTGAGCTGTCAGGTGAAGCTCTGTTTACCTCACAGTCAAGGCAGTGGGAAATGAGTTCTCTCTGCAGGGTGGCTGGACTCTCCCTTAGACAGGACGAGTTCAGTTAACCAGGAGAGACTCGGAGTAGAGTCTCTGCTCCTCCACGTTGAGAGGAGTCAGTTGAGGTGGTCCAGATATCTGGTAAAGATGCCCCCTGGACGCCTCCCTAAAGACCTCCACATTCTCCATCTGAGCTTGGCTCTCATCGTCGCAAAGCACGACAATTTTGCTTCAACTACTCACTCCCAGAGTCCGGATGTTGTACCCGAAAGCAGACATTTATAAAAATAACCAAATGGGCCAAAACTCAAGGATGGAGGAACCCATCTGCCGAAAGCTGTGGCGCTTTAACCGGGACAGATTTGTTGCCAAACTAAAGACAAATATTGGAGCGGAGACTTTTTATTTATTTATTTTGTTTCCAAGCAAAGATTATAGCGGGAAGAAATCCCGTGCAGTGACATGTACGGAAGTGGGAGGGGTTTCCTAGGAGCTCGACGCTGTGTGTCTGTGAAAGGTGTGTGTGAAAACGAATGTCGAGCGTGACGGCCTGTCGACGGTTTGTTTTGGTTTGGAGCGTGCCGGGCCCTCACGGAGGGGCCTCAGGCATGTCACAGGGAAGACCCAGGAGACGTCTCACTGCTGGTCTGGAAACATCTTGGAATCCTCCCAGAACATCTGGAAGAGACGACTCCAGAACAAGCTGAAAATGTTGGATAAAGGTGCAGCTCTTCCACTGCCTTTAATGCCAGACTTTATACTGAAATCATCCTGTGCTGAGAAGAAACAGTCATTGCTGTGTTAGTCAACACTTGAGTCATTTGATTTTGCGAGCATCTATCAAGTGTTTTATGATTTATTCTGCTAAAAGACAGCTACAGCTGAGCTCAGAGTGCTGAGAATAATTCAGATACAACCACACTCAGTTTCAGCTCAGTATCTGTAAAACGTGGCTGAGCTCTAGTCATGTTTAGTATTTAAAAGCGGACGCATTGGGTGAGGAAACAGTGTCCAGACCTGCAAACAGGTCGTTGTCCTCATCAGAGTGAACCCCATTGGGCTTGGCTGGTCTGGCCTGGTCCTCGCTGAACAGGTCTTCAGGCTCCTCAGTGACCCTCTCCGGCTGAGAAACTCCTCGGCTGACAGATACCGGCTTACTCTGCAAACAGGAGACCAATGAGCCACACAAACACAAACAACAACAACACAAACAATGTGTTGACTGGAGGCTGTCCACTGAAAGCAAAGGTAAGAAGAGTCTCATCTGGGTTAGCAAATACAAACCTTCACACAATTAGTGAAAACGACAAACTCCAGTGAGTGAACACCAAACTAAACTGGCCTTAATGGACAGGAGAGGCCGACAAGCTCAAAAACAAAACAAAAACTCAACACCGAAGACTTAACTAACCTAACTGTGCGCCGAAATATTAACGTCACCCCAGTTTCATAACTAATACCAGTCTTTGTTGTAAAATTATTATTTCCCGTCCACCGTCAGCTGGTTTCAGTTAAATTTGATGCAGGTCAGATCATCAGATAAGGAGATGAACTTCCACGCGCTGCATCGCCGACATGTAAAATAAAATAAAATAAAAATCGACATGACAGCTAAAAACGTACGTTACTGACAAAGATGTCCTCTCCCTCATCGCTGTCTCCATCTGCCATGTCGGACAGTCCAGGTTCTGGCTCTTCTGTTGCAGGGAAAGGAGGTGGATTCCGATCCGAGCTGGCCGACATATTTGAGTGTTGAGAGCAGAGACGTCCACACCGGAAGTGACGAAAGACTGTCTGCTGCCAGCAGCGCCCTCTGCTGTTCAAAACACCTCATTACAACTAATTACTATTATTGTTATTATTATCACAACCAACTCATTACTTTTATCATCTCTCCTATGACAATTAATTGAAAACCTGTAAATGTACGTTTCAGAAAACATTTTCAACAAAATGTTAAAAACTGACATATCAGATCACTCTGGTGAGTGACATGTCAGAGTTTTAAATTAAGATAATCGTCTGATGAAAAAAAAAACTATAATGGTTTCTGGGAAACCAATACAATTTTGCAAACAGGGTTAACTCTTAATTACTGCCAATGTTTTAAACAAAGACATTAAATGAGCTGTTAGTGAAACATTTACTGATTTACCGCCATTTTAGTGTTTGGTAATGAGGAGTACATGTGGTGGCCATCTTGAATTTTATTGGTGTAAAAGTTAATCAGTTGTAGATGTGCATATGGTGACTACTTCCTGAAAGTTTCATTAAAATCCCTTCAGTGGGTCACAAGCTATTTTGCTAACAGACAAAATGGGTTTATATCAACAGTTAATGTCAAAGTACTCATTTAAAATCTTGTGTGATCTGTGATTACTCAGAGTCTTAGTTGGGGATGACTGTCAGCTACTACCACATCAAATTCCAGCTCAATATCTGTCAAACTGACTGAGTTGTATCTATATTTGTGTTTAATAAGGTTGCTTAGCTGTGGCAGTCATCTTGAATCAGGTGGAGAACTAAAGTTAATGAGGTATAGATGTGCAAGCAATAATTATTTTTTAAGAGTTTCATTAAAATCAAACATGTGGTTCGTGAAATATTTTGCTAACAGACGCAAACAAGTACAAACCTTTTCACCTTTCAGTGATGGATGTTAACTAATCTGATTTCTTTGGAGTTATTTTTAAATTTTCTATTTTTTACTTTCAAAWAATGAAAAGGCAGTTCCTATGCAGCATTTTGAATATGTTTGTTGAAAAAAAAAAGACAAGAGAAACATTTACTTTGTTAGTATTCATAATAGTTTGTATACACAATGTATAGGAGCACCAATAAAAAAACATTTTTTTCAACATTTTCGTTTTTTTTAAAAAGCCACAGATTTGTTTTTCTTCTACAGAAAGCAAAGAACGCTCTGTACACGAACAAGCAGAACAACAGAGTTCCTCATCATGAGCCACACAGGAAACAAACAAACAAACAAAAAAAACCTCGACTCCTCAGCTCATCTCATCTCATCAGCAAATAAAAATCAAACATAAGACCAGCTGCCTGCTGCTTACTCAGGACACTACGTTACACAAACAGCTTCTGATATTTAAAACACAAGATATGTAAGAAATGTACTTTTCGAAAAACCGTGAAAAAGTGCAATACAGGTTCAACTGTTTACAACTCAAAGAGATCGCTTTCCCAAAAAAATGGAGTCAGGCCCTTTTTTTTCTCTCTCTCTCCTCCCAAACAATGTTTTTGAATCATTTTCTTCTGAAACGTGCTCCTCGTTTAACTCAAGAGTTCAAAAATCTCTTTACATTTATACTGACATTCATGATGATGTACATTTATGCAAAAACATGGTATTCACAAAAAAGTAGAGGAAATGACTTTGGAAAATGACTAAATTCTTTGGGTAAGAAGATAATGAAAAACTAGTTTATAGATCATCTTTTGTCTCCATTTTTTTTACAGCAGATTTGTGTTTCTTCATACAAAATCTACCATATTAAAAAAAATAATAAAACCAGGGAGTCCCTTTCAAAAGGCTAACATCTTTGCATTGTATAGGTTTTGGAAAAGAAACAACAGAAAAATTAAAAAAAAATTAAAAAGAATGCCCTGGTGCTTCAGCAGAACACACTGAAACCAAATGTTGGGTTTTTTTTGGAAACACACACACATCCRGTCGACCGTAGCGTATAAAAAAATCAGTTGCATCTGATTGATTGAAGAGGTGTGTGTGTAGAAGGCGGGGGTGGGGGGTCAGCACCCTGAGTCTGTGATAACCCTGACTGGTAGTCCATCCCGTCAACGTCCCCGCAGAGTRACGCCAGAGCTTCCACAGAAGCCAGTGACATCTTGAGTCGCCTCTGCGGTCCGACACTCCAACACGTTGGTAAGGCTTCGAGGAAAACGGAGCTCCCGCCGCCGACACAAAACACCCGCGAGCTTTTTTTATGAACGAAGCGGACAACGAAAACGGCTCCTCTCCCCCACACACTGCTGATATGAAAACCGAGCCTCAGGACTCGGCTCTAATCTAAATCTAAATATTACTGAAACATCAAAAAGAAGGAGGCAGCTTACAAACAAAACTTTATGTACATGTTCATAAGGATATGTGTGTAAAAAAATACAATAGCATAGAAAATAAAAATGGCACAATAAATGACAAACGAGGGTAATAGAATAAAAAAATAATAATAATAGGAGGTTGGTAAAAAGGGGGGAGTGGCTGACATCCAATGCTCACTTCACTGAAACGGCCCAATAGATACAAAATGCACAAAGAAAACACCAATCGAACAAACACTGTTGTAGGACCGGGCTGCGCGAGCACCAGCATCAAAACCAGCAGACACCAAATCAGCCGTCTCCTTCCAGAGTTCAAATGCAAACCACGTGGTTTTTTTTTTTTGTGGGAAAAAAAACCCCCAAAACAAACAAAAAATATATATCACAATCTTCCAGTTAAAAGCGACCAAAAAGTTCATCGTCTCTGAGATTGTTGGTTGTTCGTATAAAGACGAAGCATCTTGTTCTTACGTCTCATGACCGTCTCCTTCCTGAGACTGAGTAAGGTGAGCCAAACAGAAGGTTCAGTCTGGAGGTTTGTTTCTTGTTGTTGTTATTTTCCCCCTCCTCTCTCTCAGGAGAGAAACAATCAGGAGGAGGAGTTTCCTTTTAGGCACAAGAGGCCATTCTCTGTCCGTCAGCCTCCTGGCTCCAGAGAGCTTCAGTTTGGGGGCGCTCTGTGTGTGTGTGTGTGTGTGTGGCCCACCCCCCTCCGGCACCACGGTGCTCACGGCGCTGTCGTGATGGCGTTCAGGTCCTTCATCAGGCCCTCGAGGTGGGCCATCTCCTCGGTCAGCTCGTCGGGCTCGTAGCTCTGAGGGAGAGGAACAGGGTTACTGCGGGGGGCAGGGGAGGGGCAGGGGGGGAGGGAGGCAAGCACCTGGAAGGAGGGAAGGAAAAGAGAGAGAGAGAGAGAGAGAGAGAGAGAGAGAAAAGAGGGGAGAGGAGAGGAGGATAGGGTCAGTCAGGGATCTATCACAGCAGACAGGAGGAGCTGTATGGGTGGGATGAGGCGAGCTGGGAGGCGGGTCAATGACACTGACGAGTTAAAAAACAAAAAACCAAGAGGCGGCGGATGGAAAGCAAAACATCGAGGAGCAAAATAAACGTGGTGCGAGAGATAAGAGGAGCCATGAAGTCAGACCATTCCAGGTTTTGTTGAAAGGTAAATGAGTGAAAAGCGGACAAATCAAATGTGAAGTTGAAGTGAAAAAGAACAAAAAGAGAGAAAACAGAAAATGTGTTACAATAAGTCCATCAGACAAGTGATTATATAACACATGAAACTATGATGAGTGAGACTTAAAGACAAACATGTCAAACCTTCCTCACCACCATCCTCATCATCAGGCCTGTCATACCACTATTAGCCAGAGTGAGGCGCTGTACTCACGCTGTCCACGTCCTCCAGCATCTTGCTGGTCTCCGGTACGTCGGGGGCGTTCGGCACGGTGACGATCATCGGTGAGCGCGTCCTCCCCAGTGTCCCGATGGAGGCTGTTTTCACCACGTGGGGGTGAGTGGGGGGTCCTGGGTGGGACAGACGGAAACACGCGGTTAGAGATGGGTCTGGATCAGGCGAGCGCTGGAGGAAGTCTTGTTGTGTACTTCTGGTTTTACTCTGTGTTTGAATTATTACTTCTGTCAAAAACATAAGGAACATATTTTTCTCTTCTTCATCCACCTCCTTGAACACAATCCAGATGAAGTGATCTGAAGTGGATCAGAGGATCTGAATCTGACTCACCTGCATTTTATCAGCATACAGTAGCACTGACTGTACCTAACTGGACTGGTTTTACTTTTAGACTTTTGTTTTGAAAGGCTGATGGAGACTAGTTGAAAACAAAATGGCGAGAAAATCAATTTTAACTCTTGGATTCACACCAAGCTCCATGTCCGCTTTTGCAGCATGAATGTTGTCATCCAGCATTAAGCGGTGTGGAATCACAACAGTGCAGAAGCTGCTGGACGAGGAGCCCAGCCTGGATCAGAACCGGGCTGAGCTGCTGACGTGGTCAAGACCGGTCAGGTCCGGTGATCAGTCACAGTTTAGTTCCAACACCTCACTATGATGTCTCACAGCTCTCAGACTTTCTGACTCACAAAAACTGAACTGAGAAATGTTTGACACACTCACAACTCTGACTAGTTTAAAAAAATGGCCACAGAAATATTCTGAAAAACATCACAGTTCTTGTCCTGTCTCTTGTTTGTTTTTGTTTGGCTCTTACCACATTACGATGTCACCCCAAACATGCTGTAGGACGTCTCTTGACTGCAATATTTGGGTATTTTTCACGATTCATGGGTTCTCTAAGAATGCAACCCAGTGCAAAAATCACTGCTTCACTGTAAAACGAAAACCCAGGAAGAGCTGGTATTTCTGTGGTTAATAGTAAAGAAGCTGTTTTACAGATGATCACCATCATTTTTTGACACTGACAAAACTTTTCTCTACACCGTCTCCTCCTCGCACAGAACGCTGCCATCTCCTTTCACAAGTGCTTTTGCTGGAACAGTTGTAAAGATTGTTGTATTTTCCTGCAGCCGCTTTACATCATAAACACACCTACAAACTTACGACCAATCGCTTAATACTTGGCGTACACCCCAGTGAGACTAACGCTCTGACAGGGGGTCTCGTGAGAACAAAAAGACTTAGTTTCCTTCAAGCATCGTCATGACCAGTGGTGGGCACAGTTCCCCTAAAGCACAAAAAGGGGAACTAATTTCCTGATTAGTGCTTTAGGGCTTTTGCTACTTTTTAAAATTCATTAGTGGATTAGCACTTGCTAAATTTATGGGCTGAATTTAGGAACACGAACTGAGATCTTTAAATGTTCTTAATAGGGRTGCACCAAAAAAATCGATTCGCATCAGAATCGTGATTCTCGTTTACAAAGATTCGGAATCGATTTCAAATGTCTTAAAATGTATTTTAAAAAATAAAAAAATCAAGCAAATCCAATGGCTGTCAGACTCCATCTTATAACTACGTGAGCCGTCCTGACGGTTCTGGAAGCTATGAATGCACAGAAAGCAGCAAAACAAAGAGGAAACTACAAAACTGGAGGAAAGAGATTCAACTGACCCCTGTCTTCATTGATTGCAAAGATTTGGACTCATTTTGGTTTTTACTGAATAAGTTTGAGTTTGACATGAGCTTCACTGTGTGCAAGGGTTGCAAAATGAAGATGAAGCACTTTGGGAACACAACAAAATGGGCTCACATTATCAGATTTTAATAATAAAAAAAAACAATTTTGAATTGAATCGTGGCCCCAAAAATCAGAATCAAATTGTGGGATAGTAAAAAATTCCCACCCAGTTATTAACATTATATTTACCAGCTGAGGGTGAAAGCTGTCACATTTTGTTCATGTGCATTCACTTATCCACTAGGTGGCATATTAACAATACTCTGCACACAGTAATTATTGTCTCATGTTGACTTTGAAGAATATTCCATGGGTCAACTGAGTTATATTAGTGCTTTAGAATTAGCTTTCGTTAAAGTTTGCAGTGAATTAGTGCTTTAGAATTAGTGGAGCTAAATATTTGAGTTAGTGCTTTAGGGTTAGTGCAACTAAATTTTTTGATTAGTGCTGCCCACCACTGATCACAAAACATTTTCAGGACTTTTCTTTAGGTATAAACCATCCTTTAGGTTCCAGTGAGACACGTCTCTGATAAAGACGGTCTTACAAAAAAAAAAAAAAAAAACTAAACTAAAATGTTTAAGTTTAACAGCATTTACAGTTTGTGTGTGTTGGCACTGGAGCTCATCATTTTACTTTGTTAAACTGATTCATTTCTTTATGTCATCTGCAAATATCGCTAAACTGAAAAACACTATAGATATACAAATTTAGCTCATGCACAAAAATCAGTTTTGTTGTGTGATTTGTCCTCAGGTAAACTGTGTGTGTGTGTGTGTGTGTGTGTGTGTGTGTGTGTGTGTGTGTGTGCTGGATGGGAGCGCTCACCGCTCTGAGCGAGCAGAGGGGTGCTGGGCAGGGCGGGGGACTCGTATGATGGATGGCTGAGGGCCGGGATGGCAGGCACGGCGAAGCTCTTGAGTGGGTGGGCGTGGGCGTGCGGGTGGGCCGGGCGGTGGGGGGGCAGGTTGCTGGAGTAGCTGGGCTCCTCCTCGGTGGTGGTGGAGCCGTGGTAGCTGCCCTCGGGGTCGGCCAGGATCTCGGAAGGGCAGGAGACCTGGGAGGAGGCGGTGGGGGGAGGGAGGGGCTCAGAGCAGGGCGTGTTCCTCACGGACTCTGGAGGAGGAGAGGCACAAGAGGCAGAGAGAGGATTCATGTGCTTAAAACTTCTTTAGACCCGGTCTGTCAAATCACTGTGGCACAAACGAGCATGTTAATCCTCCTGCAGCAAGTCTCTAATCTGATCTTTTTCTTTTTCCTCAAGAGTGCTAAGATACTTGGTCAGGAAATTATTTAATAGATCTCTAGGATGTCAACAAATTTGATAATTAACTACTAAAGCCATAATAAATCAATTATTCATTTGTTGCTGCTTCAAAACACTGAATAAATTAAAGTTGTAGTTAGTTCGCTGTGCTGTTTATTGGGCGGGACTTGTAAAAGAATCTACAATTTGAACACATTAACTTGAACTCTACATTATCCAAACCAAATGACTGAAAAAGATGAATAATAGATGATTTTGATAATAAAACAGCCAGTTGCAGCTTCTCTGGGCTAACATAAGTTGCATTTTCTGTCCGTTAAAAGAAAGACAAACTGATGTACTTTTCATTCCTCAGTTAATGAGCTTCCACATGCAGCTCAGCTTCCATCTTTACAGCTTATATTCAGATTATAATTAATCCAAGGAACTAGGGCTGTGTATTGGCAAGAATTTGGGGATATGATACATATCATAACAGGGGGGTAACGATATGATATATCCCGATATATTGCGATACTGTAAGCAAGGCAATATATTGCGATATATTGCGATTTTTTTGTCCAAAAATTCTATTAAATAAAAACCTCTTACTGAAAAAAAAAGAAAAGCTAATGTTTACTTACAATGCTTACATTGGCTGTGTCTCATGAGGACCCAGCCTAGCTGGGCCACAGAGGCCACATCCTTGCTGGGCCGGGTAGGCTGCTCAAAACTGCTGCAAAATGAGACGGTCTAGCCTTCGCCTGACATTGGTTTCATGTGGGTTTGCGTGGCCACGTGCTCCCCGTTACCATAGTGATCAGTTTCATGT